CCTCCGGGCAATATTTTTAGCCTTTGGAGACTTGGGTCCAGGCCAAGGTGGGTGGAGCTGGGGAGAGAGCTGGATCACTGAGGGCAGGCACCTGCCGCCAGCTCTCCCTACCCACCCGTCCCGACTCCGTCGGTCCCGGGGACCGCAGAGATAGGCGCCCGGTCCGGGCCTCAGGCAGCCCGGCGCCCCCTCTCGGCCCCTCTGACGCCGCAGCGCCGCTCACCCTCCCGCCGCCCTCCCCCGGCGCACACGGCCCGTTACCGTCAACGCCCGGCCTCCGAGCAGCTCAAGGCCCCGTCTGCCGACCTGCCGGCCCTCACTTGCCAGGGGGCAGCGGCCCGCGCGCAGGCAGCGACGCAAGCGGAGGCAGGTGCCCGCCCACCCGTCGCCCCCGGTTCCGAGCGCCGCAGCCGCTCTCCGGCTGGGCTCAGGGCCGCCGGCGCGCTGCGCTGCGCCCGCCCCGCGCGGGTCCGCCAGACCCTGAGGCCGCCGGACCCACCAGCACGCGGGGCGGGGACAGCCGCGCCGCCCACCCCGGTCTGCGTACGCCCTGCGGAGCCGACAGAAGATCCGGCCGCCGCGGTCCCCCGCCCGGCGCCTCCCGGGCCCGCTCCGCGGAACCGCAGTGCGCAGGCGCAGCAGGCCGGGTCCCGGAGCGCGACGGAACCTCAGGAGGGCGCGCAACTGGATGTTTTCGGAATCCTGCTTGAGGAGGCACCTCGTCCCGCAGCGACCAAAGCGCCAGCCTCCGCCTCGGCGGCCAACAGCGGGGTGCGTTTACCGCGGCCTCGCCTTGCCTAGCCCCGACAGCCGTAGGTTTCTGTCGTGGCGCCTCTCGGGCAACGGGGGTGCTGCCTTCTGCTGATACAGCGCGGCCCTTTCCTCTCTGTGCCTGCTCCCTGCTCTGTTTCCTGCCCGCGAGGGAAGGAGACGCAGACTCTTGATTGTTCTCTTTTGACTGGGCATCTAGGTTGTTAACAGTTCTAAAATATAATCCATACTGCAGTGGACATCTCCATTAAGTCCACATTCTTCTTTTCTCTTTTTTTTTTGAGACAGTCTCGGTCTTCTGCCCAGGCATGATCCTCGGCTCACTGCAACCTCTGCCACCCAGGTTCAAGTGATTATTCTGCCTCAGCCTCCAGAGTTGCTGGCATTACAGGCGCCCGCCACCACGCCTGGCTCTTGTTTTGTATTTATAGTAGAGACAAGGTTTCACTATGTTGGCCAGACTGGTCTCGAACTCCTGACCTCAGGTGATCCGCCCACCTCGGCCTCCCAAAGTGTTGCGATTACAGGCGTGAGCCACCTTGCTCAGCCTCATTTTGGTGTTAATCTTAATTTTCAAGGACTCTTGTTTGTTCTCTGGTGTTTTTTTTTTTTTTTAATTGAGGCACAAATCTTAAGTTTACATTATGTGGTATAAATCTTAAGTGTACAGCTTGATGAGTTTTGCTAAATACATACACAAGTATAATCACCACCCAGATCAAAACGTAGGACATTCTCATCTACCCAAAAGGTTCCCCTCTGTCAAGTGGTCAAGCAGTCCCTAAGCACAGCATAGTGGCTGTCAGCCTGTGGTCCAGCCTTGCCTGTGTGGCCCATGCAATGGTTGTGAGGGCACCATGGTGAACCTTTTTCCCTACATCTTCACACCCCTTTCCATCAGCACACTCCAGACATAAGCACTGCTTTGACTTCTCTGTAACTTAGTCTTCCCTGTTCTTGAACTTCTTAAAATAGAATCTTAAGTATGTATTCTTTCATGTTGGGCTTCTTGACTATGGTGTTTTTTTTTTGTTGTTTTGTTTTTTTTTGAGACGGAGTTTCGCTCTTGTTACCCAGGCTGGAGTGCAATGGCGCGATCTCGGCTCACCGCAACCTCCGCCTCCTGGGTTCAGGCAATTCTCCTGCCTCAGCCTCCTGCGTAGCTGGGATTACAGGCACGTGCCACCATGCCCAGCTAATTTTTTTGTATTTTTAGTAGAGACGGGGTTTCACCACGTTGACCAGGATGGTCTCGATCTCTTGACCTCGTGATCCACCCGCCTCGGCCTCCCAAAGTGCTGGGATTACAAGCTTGAGCCACCGCGCCCGGCCTTTTTTTCGTTTTTTGGAGACAGTCTTGCTCTGTCACCGAAGCTGGAGTGCAGTGGCATGATCTCAGCTTATTCTAACCTCTGCCTCTTGGTCAGTCTCTGTCTGTCTCAAATCTTTAAGTTCTGCTTTTCAGAGATTAAAGGGAGCTCTTTAGCTTCCCAACCCACACAGGTACAAAACCAAAACCTGTCAAATACCTTATGTCAGGGAGACCAGCTATTTGTTCATTCCAGGCCTTCTCTCTGAACACTGCATGACTGTGGGACTTGCCTTCCCAGTCTCCTGTACTGCCTCGGAACTCAGCAAATGTCCCATGGGGAAAACGCTCTACATTTTGTGCTCCTCTAGGTCCTAATCTACAGCAAGTCCTTGTAACTACCAAATGCTGTTCCTTTCTCTTTTCCCCAGTAGAGTCTCTGCTTGGGCCAAGTCTGATCCTCAGCAATGTCCCAAATGGGTAAATGTTTCAGGGAGGAAAATAGTTGCCTATCACTAGTTTAACTCGGAAGGGCTCTTTCCTCCTTGAAGTTTTACTCCATTCAGTCTTTATTTCTGTGACTACTCTTCATTCTCTTTAAAAATAAGACATTTTCAGCTGGGCACATTGGCTCACCCCTGTAATCCCAGCACTCTGGGAGGCTGAGGCGGGTAGATCGTGAGGTCAGAAGTTTGAGACCAGCCTGACCAACATGGTGAAACTGTGTCTCTACAAAAAAGATAAAAATTGGCGCCGGGCGCGGTGGCTCAAGCCTGTAATCCCAGCACTTTGGGAGGCCGAGGCGGGTGGATCACAAGGTCGAGAGATCGAGACCATCCTGGTCAACGTGGTGAAACCCCATCTCTACTAAAAATACAAAAAATTAGATGGGCATGGTGGTGCGTGCCTGTAATCCCAGCTACTCAGGAGGCTGAGGCAGGAGAATTGCCTGAGCCCAGGAGGCGGAGGTTGCGGTGAGCCGAGATCGTGCCATTGCACTCCAGCCTGGGTAACAAGAGTGAAACTCCGTCTCAAAAAAAAAAAAAAAAGATAAAAATTGGCCACGCGTGGTGGCACGTGCCTGTAATCCCAGCTACTCAGGAGGCTTAGGCAGGAGAATTGCTTGAACCTAGTAGGCAGAGGTTGTAGTGAACCGAGATTGCACCACTGCACTCCAGCCTGGGTGACAGAGCGAGAGACTCTGCCTCAAAAAAAAAAAAAGACATTTTTACCTTAGCTGTTTTTTCCTAGCGGTTGCAATGCAAGTGGTGGCATGCAGAGACCTACCACATCCTCCCAGCTGAAGTTTTTCAGTTCTGCTTTCTACCACTTCCATTGGATTATTTCACTTCCTCATATTTTCATTTAATCACACTACAACTCTCAACTTCCTCGTTTAAACAAGTGATAGGGCTCGCTATCTTCTCTTTCAAAATAGATGTTATTATTACTATTATTATATTGAGACAGTATTGCTCTTGTTGCCCAGGCTGGAGCGCAATGGCACGGTCTTGGCTCACAGCAATCTCCATCTCCCGGATTCAAGCAATTCTCCTGCCTCAGCCTTCAGAGTAGCTAGAATTACAGGCACCCACCACCATGCCAGGCTAATTATTTTGTATTTTTATTTCACCAGCTTGGCCAGGCTGGTATCAAACTCCTGACCTCAGGTGATCCACCTGCCTCAGCCTCCCAAAGTGCTGGGATTACAGGCGATGTTAACTATTTCCTGAACTTTCCTGAGGGATGGCCATTTCACTCCAAGGTTCTCACTGCTTTGTTCTTCTATTTACAAATGTTTCCCACTTCCTGTTTTTTAGTATGTTCACACTTCTTACCTTCTCAAACTTCGCCTTTAGTGATGTATTTCAGATGACTTTATAGGTTTCACTGGGATTTAGGGGAGGAGGCGAAGGCTCCCCAGTCTGCCATCCTTTTCCTCAATAAATTTGTTTTAAGAAACAACTCCCTCGAAAGCATTTTCTTCCTCATCGGCCACATCAAGTCTCCTTTGAGTGGAACTCTCTTCTCGTCTCCTCTTGAATTTTATGAGTGTCGTACACATCCACCCACAGCGTCAGCTATTCTCTAACATTTGTAAGCCAATGATTCAAACATCTGTTGCCAGCCTTTACCTCCATCTGGGCTTTCCAGACTTACCTACATTTTAAATTAATTTATTATTTTTATTTATTTAGTTTTGAGACAGAGCCTCACTTTCTTGCCCAGGCTGGAATGCAGTGGTATGATCACAGCTCACTGCAGCCTCAACCTCCCAGGCTCAATCAATCCTCCTACCTCAGCCTCTTTAGTAGCTGGGACTATAGGTGTGTGTGCCACCATGCCTGGCTAATTTGCTTTTTTTTTTTTTTTTTTTTTCTGTAGAGATGGAGTTTTGCCATGTTGCTCAGGCTGGTCTCAAACTAGGATCAAGCAATCCACATGCCTTGGCCTCCTGAAGTCCTGGGATTACAGGCGTGAGCCACCACACCCAACCTATTTACTATTTTTAGAGATGAGGTCTCACTATGTTGCCCAGGCTGGACTTGAACCTCCTTGCACAAGTGGGTCTCCCACCTCAGCCTCCCAAGTAGCTGGGACGACAGGTGTGTACCACCACACCTGGCTTCACCCACACTTTTATCTCCAATAAAATGCCGCGTCTCTAAACCCAGCACCTTCCTTGAAGCTCTCATCCTCTTCTGTAATCCTATTTCAAGGAATGACACCGCCATCTGGCCACAGCCTGAATATCGTCCTGATCTCTCTGCCTCCTTCCCCATGTCTCACATGCAGCCGCTACCAAGTCAAGTCAGCTCTGCCCCGTGCATACTGCTGTCCTTCTCTTCCCCACAGCCACCATACCAGCCCTCATGCCTTCTGAGACCTGCCCTCCAGAGGAGTGCGCATGCCAGGAGCGTTCAGTGGGCACAAGTGGTTTTATTGCTTCTGCCCAGGAGAGGAAGCCCTGGCGGGAGCAGGGACACAAGAAAACACAGAGCTGCACCCTGCCGGCAGTGTGGATGCTGGGGGCAGGAGTCCAGGACTGAAGAGCTGTCCACGTGGGAGCTGGAACCACTGAGGAGGTGCACCTTGGCCTGCAGAGGCCACGGGCTGGAGAAGGGGGTCCCAACCTCACCGATGCCGCTTTCGGATGCTCTGCAGCTCCTGGTAGATGGTGCTGAAGCTGGGCCGCTGCCCAGGCTCATAGGCCCAGCACTGCTCCATGAGCCTAAACACGGCATCAGGACACAGCTCTGGGCAGGGCAGTCGGCCCCCTGTGAGGAGAGGCACCGCACACCAGGCATGAGGAAGGACTCAGGCCCTCAGCAGACTCTCGGGCATATCATGAGCCATAGGAGCTGCTTAAGATGCACTGTTCTGAAGCACGCACTGTTCTCCACCAAGAGCACAAAGGACACAGGCCTGGCTTCTGACCACCGTCCCACCACATGCTAGTGTGGGACCTCTGCCAGCCTGTTTTTCCATCTGAGAAAGGCACTATTAATCCCCACCACACATGTTGTGATAAGCAAATTAAATAACATACTGCCTAGCACAGAACAGGTGCTCACTTGGTAGTAGCTACAGGGTTCCTCTTTTTTTTTTTTTTTTTTTTGAGATGGAGTCTCGCACTCTCATCCAGGCTGGAGTGCAGTGGTGCCATCGCCCAGGTTCAAGCGATTCTTGTGCCTCAGCCTCCCAAGTAGCTGGGATTACAGATGCCCACCACCACACCTGGCTAATTTTTGGTATTTTTAGTAGAGATAGAGTTTTGAAGGGCCGGGCGCGGTGGCTCAAGCCTATAATCCCAGCACTTTGGGAGGCCGAGGTGGGTGGATCACGAGGTCAAGAGATCGAGACCATCCTGGTCAACATGGTGAAACCCTGTCTCTACTAAAAATACAGAAAATTAGCTGGGCATGGTGGCGCATGCCTGTAATCCCAGCTACTCAGGAGGCTGAGGCAGGAGAATTGCCTGAACCCAGGAGGCGGAGGTTGCGGTGAGCCGAGATCGCGCCATTGCACTCCAGCCTGGGTAACAAGGGCGAAACTCCGTCTCAAAAAACAAACAAACAAACAAACAACAAAAAAAAACGGTGAGATAGAGTTTTGCCATGTTGGCCAGGCTGGTCTCAAACTCCTAGACTCAAGTGTTCCACCCTCCTCAGCCTCCCAAAGTGTTGAAATTACAGGTGTGAGCCACCACACCGGGTTTTTTTCTTTTGAGTCCAGGTCTCTCTGTCACCCAGGCTAGAGTGCAGTGGCATGATCTCTGCTCACTGTGTGATCCTCTCACCTCAGCCTCCTGTGTAGCAGGGAAGACAGGCACATATCACTACACCCAGCTAATTTTTGTATTTTTTGTTTTGTTTTTTGGTCTTTTGAGACAGTTTCACTCTTGTCACCCAGGCTGGAGGGCAGTGGCACAATCTCGGCTCACTGCAGCCTCTGCCTCCTGGGTTCAAGCAATTCTCCCACCTCAGCCTCCTGAGTAGCTGGGACTACAGGTATGCGCCATCACACCTGGCTAATTTTTGTATTTTCAGTAGAGACAGGGTTTCACCATGTTGGTCAGGCCAGTATCAAACTCCTCACCTCAGGTGATCCACCCACCTTGGCCTCCCAACGTGCTGGGATTTCAGGCATAAGCCACCATACCCAGCTGGGTTTTTCTTATTATGCCCGGTGGGAAGGTTGGCATTAAGGGAGTTGGAAGAATGCAGCTGGAGCAGCAGGAAGAGGGCACAGACTGAGACTGTTATCATCACAGGGTGCTTACCCTTCTCCACGAACTCCCGCGTCTGCTGATTGCTGAGGTTGGGATAGGGGGAGGCCCCCAGGCTGAAGGTCTCCCAGAGCAAGATGCCGAAGCTCCACACATCGCTCTCGGAGGAGTAGCGGCCTGCAGAGGAGCAAGGCAGCGTGAGTGGATCCTCCCTGGGGCCAGGGCGAGGCAGGCGGCAGTACCCAGGCCTGCTGGACAGGGACCAGCTACCATAGTTAAGGGCCTCAGGTGCAGTCCATTTCACGGGGACTTGTCTGAGGCCCCCTGAGGATGCGTAGACCCCATCAGCTTCCTCTCGGGACATCCCAAAGTCACTGATCTTCAGGACATTCTTCTCTGTCACCAGGCAGTTCCTAGCAGCCAGGTCCCTGGGTGAGACAGGACAGGGGCTCGTTTGGCCAATGTCCCCTTCCCAGCCCTGGCTGAACACTCTAGAAAATCCATGGACAAAAGCTGCTCCCGGCCCTGTGCACCCCTATCTACTGGAGAGGCCAGCTCCCTCCTGGAGCTGCTGCCTGATGCTGGGGGACGGGGGGTTAGGAGTATAGGCCCTGTGACTCTGGTCGGGTGTTGGCAGGGCACGTGGCCACCACCCACTCACCGGTGGATGCAGCACTTGCTCTCCAGGTACTCCATGCCAGCAGCGGCGTCCCCCACCATCTGCAGCAGAGTCTTCACCCGCAGGCGGGCCCCCTCCGTGCGGAGGAACGTCAGGAAATCACCCCCTGCAGGTGGGGAGGACGCCTGCTGAGCCTCCTGTGGCTCGGGTGCCACCTGGCCAGGCTCTGCCCCCACGTGGAGCTTCGCGCCCCGTACTCACCCTGCACAAGCTCCATGACAATGTAGATGGGCTGTTTCTGGGTGCAGACGCCAATGAGACGCACGATGTTGGGGTGGCTGTACTGCTTCAGGATCCTGGAGGGCACTGCTGCTCAGGCGCCACGTGGCCAGGCTGCCTCCCCAGGGACCCCCAGGGATGATGGAAGAAGAGCTTGGCCTCTGAGGCCAGCAGACCCGGACAAGTGACCTGGGGCAGCCTCTACCCCTTGGCACTATGAGGGGGTGCTACCCACAATGGGAGGGGTCTTGAGGAGGGATTAAACACCACCACAGAGGTCAAGCACTTTACACTGTGCCAGGCACAGAGGAACTTCTTTGTGTGCCAGACCCGGGGTGATCAGTTTACCACCCACCTTGCTTCCTGTAGAAACTTGGCCTTGAGGTCAGGTGGGAGAGTCTCTCGACAAGACTTCACTGCCACCAGGGTGTTGTCGGCTCGCAGGCGTCCGCTGAACACTTCGCCAAAGTTCCCCTGAAATGGTCTTGGGCTCCCACCAAGTCCTGCCCAGTCCCGCAGTGCTCTTCTCTGCTCCAGTCAGGCAGCCCGTGCTCCAACGCCTCCCCCAGGCTCTCTGGGAGTTTGCCCCTCGCTGGGGAACTGAGAGCACACGGAGTAGGCAGGGAAAGCCGCCTCCGACATGCCGCCCTCCATCTTCCAGGCTGCAAATGTCCCTAAACCCTGCCACCCCGTTCCCCTTCCTCTCCACCACCCCTGTGAGAGAAGTGACATGGAAATCCAAAACTCACTCTCCCCAGGGTTTCAAAAGCATTCTGATTTTTAGGAAAGCAACTTCTTCCCTAAACGGGTATCTCATTGCTCACAGCAACAGGGTGTCTCCCTACACGCACAAGACAGCTTGAAGGGGTGGTCTGGGTCGGGGTGATGAGGTCAGGGGGCCAGCAGAGCTGTCTGCGGGGACTTTTCAGGGTAGGTTCTGTCCCCTTTCCTGGAGGACAGTATGTGGCGGGGGCTGGGCAGGGAGTCGGGGTACAAGTGGGGAATGAGATGGCGCAGGGAGGTCTCTGGGCGGTGCAGTGGGGGACCCAGGTGTGACTCGGGAGAAGCAGCCAGAGACAAGGAGGCCAGTAGAGGCACACTCACCCGTCCAATCTGCTCGCCCAACACCAGGTCCTCATGGTTCAGCGCCCACTTGTCCTGGGGAAGAGAGGGGTTAGGGGATCAGAAATCTGAAGAAAAGGGGTACTGGGCCCTTAGAAGGGCTGGACATCTCTGTCCCTGAGGCTATGTCCTCCATTTCTTGGCACCTGTGTGTGTGACCCGGGGTGGGACCACATCTAGATGACTACGGGGTCTAGGCAGGTGCACCCGCCTGGTGTGTGCAGCCCGTGGAGTAGGAGTGGCCTTGACCTTCCAAACCTAGGGGGAGGCAGGCCCCGAACTTCACTCACTCTGCACCCTGTATGTAGACGGAGGGCCTGGAAAGCTCTTTCTGCTCAGACCCTGGGTGGTCCTGACCCACACTCCCCAACCCTGTCACAGAGCATGGGCTGGGCTGCTTGTAGGCTCACCTTGGGCACGGGCCTATGCAGGACTGACACCACTCTTCTTGGTGAGGGGCTGCTGCGTGCTCAGCAGGTGGTCGATGAGCAAGGGAATGCTGGGAAAGCCTTCACCTTCCAGTCGGTACAGGTTCTGCAGGGCAGGGGACCCAGGGTCAACGGCCTCCATTCTGGGGGCCCCTGAGCCCTGGGAGGGTAGAAGGAGGGCAGGAGGGGAAGAAAGGGCCTGCCCGGGATCAGGGGCAGAGAGACTTCCTGAAAAGACACCATCTGATGGTGCATGATGTCCTGCTGCCCCTCTGGGGAAGACACACAAGTCTCTACTTTGTTGCAGGGACTGGGTGGTCTCTGTGGCCGCTTTCAGCCAGTCCTACTAGGGAGGCATCCCAGACCTGGAAGCTACCCACTACCCAGCAAGTTCATTCCCTTTGGGGAAGGGAAGGGAGGGGAGACTGAGGCCTGGAAGGCTGGGGTCCCAGCCCCACTTACGTCCAAGGACTGGATGATGAAGTGCCGTGGCAGGCCGTCCCACAGCACCGACAGCACGTACTCCTGCTTGCCCTGGCTCTCCCGCACCAAGAAGTCCCCAGAGTGCGTCAGCAGCTCAGCCACCTCCGCCCGCGGGATGGCCCCGTGGTACCACAGCTGCTCATGCAGGGGCTTCTGCACCTCTGGAACAAGCTGCAGCGGTGGGGGGAGCTGGGCAGGGGAGGATGGAGGAGGAGTCACTCAGCCAGCTTGTTGCAGGGGCTGTGGGGGCAGGCAGGGGTCTCTCTTCCCCCTATAAGCCCCCAGTCCTCACAACCATGGAGTGGCATGCAGAGCCATCCGCAGGCCCTTGGAATGGGCAGTGGATTGGCCCAGGATCACACTGGGCAGAGCTGGGAAGGGAAGCCTAGGCAGGATAACCCCAAACCAAGCTGGTGCCTCCTCCACCAGGCCACAGGTCCCCCACCATTCCTGGAACAGGGAGAGCCATGGAATAGTCAGGGCTGCTGGTCCTTCCAGCACACAGGGGCAATGGAGAGGAAGGGGTACAGGGGAGGCAGGGTCTAGGGCCATCTGCGGCCTAGAATTGCAGGGAAGAGAGGAACTTCCCAATAAAAGCAGCCTGGGCAGTCTCCTCTCTAGGGCCTCCCAGTGATTAAACATGAAACACGGCCAGGTGTGGTGGCTCATGCCTGTAATCCCAGCACTTTAGGAGGCTGAGGCCGGGAGAGCACAAGGTCAGGAGTTCAAGACCAGCCTGGCCGATATGGTGAAACCCCATCTCTGCTAAAAATAGAAAAAAAAAAATTAGCCAGGCATGGTGACAGGCACCTGTAGTTCCAGCTACTCCAGAGCCTGAGGCAGGAGAATTGCTTGAACCCAGGGGGCGGAGGCTGCAGTGAGCTGAGATCGTGCCACTGCACTCCAGCCTGGCAACAGAGTGAGACTCCAACAGTAGGGGGCCCAGGCTGCGTGCCACTCACCGAGAACTTGGGGCGGAAGATTCCTGAGATGTGGCTCTTAAGGATCTCCAGCGTGGGTGTCCTTCCCCCTTCTCGCTCCTGCTCCTGAGGCCAGGGACAGACGTCAGCGGGTGGCCAGGCTTAGGGAGGGGGAGGGCGAAAATGAGGAGCGCAGCCCCAGGTGGGCAGGCCGGTGGCAGGCAGTGGCCGCGGATGGGGCAGCTCACCGAGGATGACGTGGAGTGGCGGTCATCCTGCAGGAGCAGCACAGGCGGGGGCTCGCCGGGGCCCAGCTGCTCCAGCTTGGTCTGCAGCAGCTCCTGCTGGGCCTGCAGCTTGGCCTGGCTGCACATCGCTACCTGCAGCCCCTGCAGCGCCTCCTGCAGTGCCTGCCTCTTGCCCAGCAGCTGCACCCTGCAGGCAGGGCCGGTGGGAGGGTGGGTGAGAGAGAGCGCTCAGTCTGCAGCAGGCAGCCAGCAGCAAGGAGGGAAGGCAGAAGGGAGGGAGGTCCAGGAGGCTGCTGCAGGCAGGGGCCCACTCACCGTCCGCGGGGGTGGGTGTTCTGCTCTTCATTCTGGAGCTCCTGCTGCAGCTGCGTAACCACCTCCTGCCGGCTGAACACCGTCTCGGTGGCCACAACCAGCTCATCTGTCACTGAGGTCAGCCTGTACCCAAGAGAAGGGCAGCATTAAAGTCAAGCCCTCCTGCCCCCTCACCCATGCCCAGTGCATCCTTGCAGAGCCAAGCAAGCCTAGTCCCCTGGTGACAGCTCTGTGTGGACAGTGTTCACAACCCAGCCCTGCCTACATAAACACCGGTGGTCTGCTGGGAGCCCCGCCATGGCCCAGATGAAAAGCCACCACCCACGTGTGCTGCACACTCTCCACGGTCAGCTCGTTCAGCTGGAGCTCTCCAGGCTCCAGCGGTTCACCCTCCTCAAGCAGTGACTCATCGAATGTGACGCAGGGTGGGACGTCAGGTGCGGACCTGTGGGGGACAGCGCTCTATCAGTGGACAGGCCGGCAGCCCCTGAGCCCAGCAGGAGCAAGGACCGGGCTTACCCATACTGTCGCAGGAAGCCTTGGTACTCAGCCTCAGGCTGGATGCGGGCAGCAGCTGCAGCCATCTCCTGGTGAATGGACACCACCTCATCCTGCACCAGGCTGCTAATCTCCAGGTATTCCTGCAGGATCTCCTTCCTGTCCCCACATGGGATCCCCAGTCAGAGGGGCCTCAGGTTGGGCAAGGCTGTGCAGTTCAGACCCAGGACTCTGGGTTTGGAGTCAGGGCTGGGGTTGATCCCTGCCTCACTTCGTGCTACCCATGCAACTCTAGGCAAGTTATTTAATCTCTCCTTGATCTTCTATTTCCTCATATGTATAAGGGGGACGCTGGCAGTTGTAATAAGGATCCAGTGGGCCAGGTGCAGTGGCTCACACCTGTAATCACAACACTTCGGGAGGTCAAGGCAGGTGGATTGCCTGAGGTCAGGAGTTCGAGACCAGCCTGGCTAACGTAGTGAAACCCTGCCTCACCAAAAAAAAAAAAAAAAAAAAAAAACCAAGGCTAGGAGTGGTGGCTCATGCCTGTAATCCCAGCATGTTGAGAGGCTGAGGTGGGCGGATCACACGGTCAACAGATCTAGCACATCCTGGCCAACATAGTGAAATCCCGTTTCTACTAAAAATACAAAAATTAGCTGGGCATGGTGGTGTGCACCTGTAGTCTCACCTACTTGAGAGACTGAGGCAAGAGAATTGCTTGAACTCAAGAGACAGAGGTTGCAGTGAGCCGAGATCGCACCACTACACTCCAGCCTGGTGAAAGAGCGAGATTGCATCTCAGAAAAGAAAAAACCAGCCAGGCATTGTGGTACATGCCTATAGTCCCAGCTACTCTGCTACTTGGAAGGCTGAGGCAGGAGAATTGTTTGAACTCAGGAGATGGGGAGGTTGCAGTGAGCCAAGATTGCGCCACTGCACCCCAGCCTGGGCGACAGAGGGAGACTCTGTCTCAAAAAAAAAAAAAAAAAAAAAAGGATCCAGATGAGATCCTGTGTGCAGAGTGTCTGCTGTACAGGGAGCGCTCAGTAAACATGAGCTATAATTATCCCTGCCCTGGGTGGCCAGCTCTGCAACTCAATACCATGTAAGCCATCAACAAGCTGCCCACCCCTGTCCACATGTCCCAGCCCAGGCACATCCCTGGGCCCCAGCCTCATATACTCACTTACCTACTCAAAATATCCCATTGGCTATCTCTTAGACACCCCAACCCCTCTAGTTGAAAAATGAGGCTGGGCGCGGTGGCTCACACCTGTAATCCCAACACTTTGGGAGGCCGAGGTGGGCGGATCACAAGGTCAAGAGATCAAGACCATCCTTGCCAACATGGTGAAACCCCATGCTACTAAAAACACAAAAATTAGCTGGGCGTGGTGGCACGAGCCTGTAGTATAGTCCCAGTTACTCAGGAGTCTGAGGCAGGAGAATTGCTTGAACACGATTGTGTACAAGTTGCAGTGAGCTGAGACCCTGCCACTGCACTCCAGCCTGGTAACAGAGCGAGACTCTGTCTCAAAAAAAAAAAAAAAAGAAAGAAGAAAAGAGAAATGAACTCCTACCCTTGTCTCCTAAACCTCTTCCTCCCACAGCCTTCTCCACATAAGTTAATAACCACTCCATCTTCCAGCTGCTCCAGGCCAAAGCTCCAGAGTCACCCCTGACTCCTCTGTTTCAGGCTCCACTTCCAATCCACAGGGAAATTTCACTGGCTCCACCTTCAAAACATCCCCAGAACCTGACCGCTTCTCACCTCCATTGCTACCTCCCTGTCTTTCTGTGGCCAAAAGCTTAGGTCTGGATTACTGCAACAGCCTGCTTTCTGGCCTCCCAGATTCTGTCCTTGCCCCCTCCAGTCTATTCTCAGCACAGCAGCCAGAGTGGTCATATTAAAACAAAGGTCAGAGCCGGGCGTGGCACACACCTGTAATCCCAGAACTTTGGGAGGCAGAGGCGGGCGGATCACTTTGCACCCAGGAGTTACAGACCAGCCTGGGCAACACAGTGAAACGACATCTCTATTAAAAACACAAAAATTGGCCGGGTGTGGTGGCTCAAGCCTGTAATCCCAGCACTTTGGGAGGCCCAGGCGGGTGGATCACAGGGTCAAGAGATCGAGACCATCCTGGTCAACATGGTGAAACCCCATCCTTACTAAAAATACAAAAAAGTAGCTGGGCATGGTGGCACATGCCTGTAATCTGAGCTACTCAGGAGGCTGAGGCAGGAGAATTGCCTGAACCCAGGAGGCGGAGGTTGTGGTGAGCCGAGATCGTGCCATTGCACTCCAGCCTGGGTAACAAGAGCGAAACTCCGTCTCAAAAAACAAACAAAAACACACACACACACACACACAAAAATTAGCTGGGTGTGGTGGCACACGCCTGTAGTTCCAGCTACTCCAGAGGCTGAGGCAGGGGAATTGCTTGAACCTGGGAAGTGGAGGTTGCAGTGAGCCAGGATCACGCCACTGTACTCCAGCCTGGGTGACAGAGCAAGACTCCGACTCAAAAAAAATTAAAACAAAACCAAAAAACAGAGGTCAGATCATGCCATTCGTGCTCACCCAGAGCCAAAGGCCTCGATGGCCCTGCTGGACCCTCGATCACCCAGGAGCCCTCGATGCCTGACTCCTCCAGCCTTGCGTCTGACTATCCCCTCCCTCACTCTGCGGCGGCACTGCTGCTTCCGACTATCGTTCCCCGGTACTATTATCCTTCCTTGGGGCCTGTGTACTTGCTGTCCTCCTTTCTGGAATGGTCATTCTCCAGATAGCCCCACGATTCACTCTTGTACCCCGCTCAGGGGCCTCTTTGAAGTCACCTCTCAAGAGCTTTCCCAGACCACTCTATTTACAACTGTCACCTCCCAGGTCCCCATCCACCTCCCTTGCTTTTCTCCATGGCTCTTAGCCCTCCTCACAGCCTCCCTCCACTAACACGAAAGATCCCTGAGGACACATGCTTTTGTCCCCTCTGCTCTCTGCTGTAATCCAGCACCCAGACCACTGCTCCATGCATGTAATAAAACCCTGGAATAGTGGGATCCTGGCCTGGTGTCATTTGGAGGTAAGTTGCCTGTCCCGTTCTCATGTGGTTACATGGCCAGCACTTTCCTAACAATGGATTTTCTGGGTCCTGCCTCTGGGCCTGATGGCTGGGCTTAGGGCTGCGTGAGGGTGGGGGGTGGGGGCTGGGACTGGGGGCTGGGGCCCAGGGCTACGGGCTTACAGGATTCGAGCCATCTCCTCGTGCAGGTCCTGCAGTGAGCGCAGCAGGCCAGGCAACAGGCGCTGGTGGTGGTGCTGGTGATGCAGCTGTGCCGCCCGCACACCCAGCACGTAGCGGTTGTGGTGGGCAAAGAGCTTCCACAGGCTGCGTACATACTTGTCCTTGGCCTTGTCACGGTCCTTGTCTGCCAGATGGGGGTCAAGGGGTATAGATGACAGCATGGAGGCCCAGGCAGCCCCCACTATCTGTTGACCTGACCCCTGAAGATAGGTCAGCACTGGCCTCGGATTCCCTCACTGCCAGCAAGGGAAGCCACAAACCTTTGCTGGCCTCCTGGTACTTGCGCTTGGCATTAGCACTGTCCCGTGCCAGGGCCCGGTACTGGCTCTTCAGCTTCTCAATGTCCTGGCTGTGGGTCTAGGGAGAGAGAAGAGGCCAGTGTGGGGCAGCAGGTCCCCAAATGAGGAATGTTCTTGCCTGGGATGAAGCCCTGGAAAGGTCCTGTCACCAGCAAGGAGCACCTGGAGACTTCTGGGAAAGCTGGCTGCTGAGCTGAGGGTCAAAGGTCAGAGGGCCTGTTAAAGACAAGCCCCTTAGGGAGGCAAAGAGGTGGACTACAGACTACAGCCGTCCCTCCTTGGTCTGGGAGCAGTAGCCTGGTGGTAGGCAGGGCCAGCTGCAGGTGTGTGCGGCCTGTGCAGTCACACACCTGCAGGACGTCCACATGTAAACAGGCCCTGTGCTGGGTCTCATGCCCCGTTACTGCCACCTTGAAATTCTTAACAATCTTTTAACAAAGGGCCCCACAATGTCATTTTGTGCTGGGTCCTGCAAATTGTATTCTTGACAGTAGGAACAGATGAGAGCTGAGACCAGAGTTCTCGCCCCAGTTCTCCTGTTTATGTGCTGGGATACATTGGGCGAGTCCCCAACCTCAGTTTCCCCATCTGTAACTGAGCTAAAGACCTCGACTAAATTAGTCTTTTTCTTTTTTCTCTCTCTCTCTCTTTTTTTTTTTTGAGACAGAGTCTCGCTCTGTCCCCCAGGCTGGAGTACAGTGGCACAATCTCAATCTCGGCTCACTGCAACCTCCGCCTCCTAGGTTTAAGTGATTCTCCTGCCTCAGCCTCCCCAGAATAGATGGGACTACAGGCGCACACTACCACACCTGGCTAATTTTTGTATTTTTAGTAGAGATGGGGTTTCACTATATTGGTCAGGCTTGTCTCAAACTCCTGACTTCATGATCCCCCTACTTGGGCATCCCAAAGTGTTGGGATTACAGACGTGAGCCACCACCCCCAGCGGATCACTCTTTTTCCTAAATGGCCAGATAGTAAATAAATACTCTAGGCTTGTAGGCCATAGGGTCTCTATCCTAATTACTCAACTCCGCCATTGTAGCCACCATCTGTGTTCCAGCAAAATTTGATACAAATAGGCCAACTCTCAAATTCGAGATATCTCTTGGGGAGAGGAGTAGGGCCAGGGCTGCCACCAGGGGCCGCTGTGGGTCCATGGCAAGGCTGGGCTCTGCACTTGAGGAAGGGGTGTGGCGCAGGGAGGCTGATCCGCACACTGAATGGGGGTAACTCGGCTCCCAGATAAAGAGCCAGCTCCAAATCACAGCCTCTACACCAAGGAGCTGGTGGGAGTCAAATCTGACATCACAGCCCGAGTCCTCGGTCTTCAGGGGGCCATGCTGCTGCCCAGTCTCTGGGGCCATGTGAGGAGCCTGCCTAGGTTGAAGGCAAAGAGACTGACCCTCTCATTCCTCTCCATGACTCTCAGAACCCAGGGCCAGGTGGCGCAGTGCGAAGGCAAGCACCGATTCGGAGCTTCTCATAGGCAAATGACTAGCCAGTCATCCTTCCATTCCCAGCACTTTGCCCAGGCACAGAAAGAGCACAGAGACCTTGCTGCAAGCAAGCCCAACGTGGGCGGGGGCGGGGTGGTAGGGTGGGGAGAGGAAGCTGCATCAAGGTTGGAGCAGGCCAGGCCTGTGGTCAGGGATTTCCACTTCCCCAGTGAGTCCACCGCCTCTTGTGCAAAACCACCCCTTGGAGGCTCAAAATTTAGACAGAAGCGACCGAAGCCCCGTGCTGCCCACCCACCTTGGTGAGCTCCTGCTGCAGCTGCTGCCACTGCTCGCTGTAGGTCTTGCGAAGCTGCTGCCGCTCCCGGATGAGCAGGCTCAGCTTGCTCAGGGGTCCTGAGTTCAGGTCCTCTGCGTGCTGCCGCAGCAACCGGCTCAGGCCCTCTGTCTGGCTGGTGATCTCCGCCCAGGACTAAAGCACAGGAAAGGGGAGGCAGGGAGGAGGGGACCATGGCTCCCAAGCCTGGGCCTGCCAAATCTCCAACCGCTCCTCCAGAGGGCCCCCAGGAGAGGAAGGGGAAGGCAGAGCCAGCCAGCACCCACAAGAGTCCCACAGAGGCCCACCTGGCTGATGGGACTGTCCGGGATACCCCGGTTCTGGCCCCCGCTGTCCTGCAGGGACATGTGGTGGAGCAGCCCCGCATATTCCCTGTCACTCTTGACCCGCTGGGCCATCCACTTCCTCATGCCCTCCAGGAGCCGGAGCTCAGCCTCCTGCATCTGCTGCAGGACCCCATGGCCCTGGGGGCTGCACAGCTCCGAAGAGAAGCCCATAGTGCCGGCCTTGGGACAGAAAAGGGGCCAGCCCGGGGGCGAGGCAGCAGCTGGAGACGCAGGCGTGGGACTGGAGGGTTGGGATGGCCTGCGGCTGGGGGAAGATGGGGTCCTGCCTCGGTCACACGCAGCCAGGGGTACACAGCAGCAGCCTGCCCTGGGCACTGGCCCTCATTGCTTCTCGAGCACCAGGGGTCCCCTCCCCCGTCCAGGAGCAGAAGCCAACCTGGATTCTCCCTCCCCAGGCCCTTCCACCCAGGGCCTCTTACAGGGACACCCTCTCCCAGGTCCTCGACAGGCCAAGCCTGTGCCAGCTGAAGCCTCAGGCGGCTGTGAGCCCTGCCCCTGCGGCCATCCCGGCCTTCCGCGGCCTCTACCCGCACCCAGTGGGTCTCCGGCTCTCGGAACGCCCGCCTGGCTCCTGCCCGCCGCACCCCCCGCTCCCCGCGCTCCCCGCGCTCCCCCAGCTCTTCTGGGCCCCGGGGCTGGCGTTACCCGCGCGGGCAGCTGCTCCTGGGGCGGCCTCGGACAGACTCAGGCCCGGTGCCGACCCCGGCCAGTTCCTGATTCCGCGCTTCCTCCTCCGCGGTTTCAGTTGGCCCCGGCCCCGGGGCGGGCCTGGAGGGGAAGGGGCGGGCGGGAGCTGCTCGACGGCCTCGACGCCTGCCGGCCCCCCTGCTCCGCGCTGGGCCGCAGCCTCCAGCCGGCCGCGCGGCCACGGAAACGGAAGGGAGGAGGGGGCCGGGAAAGAATGGCCCAGCTGAGCGCCGCCTGCGCCCTGCAGCCCCCCTGGGCCCCGCAGCGCCCCGGGAACACCAGGAAGGGGCACGAGGTGGGGGGCGACATCGCAGGGCAAGGCCCCAGGCAGATGCTGGACCCAGGGAAGCCCGGGGTGTCGGGGGCTGAGGGGAGGCCCGCAGTCCTGGCACCAGGCCTGGGCCACCGCAGGAGAGGACGAGGGCACCCTGGGCCAGCCCTCCCCACTTCACGGTATTCCCTGAGGAGAGGCTCAGGCGCCAGCTTCCATTTGAATAAAATCTCCAAGTAAATATCCCCAACAGAGGCCGCTTCTCAGGGACAGGTCCTGGTGGCTCTGTCCCCATCCTCCTACCCCCAGGCAGGGGCTTCCTGTCCTAAGGGAGGCCTGGGGCAGTCAGAGGGCAGGGGCTGGGGCGTGGAGAGGTGCGGAGTTTTCCATGTGGGGCTCTGGCTCCCCCCAGCAAGTCAGCCCCCACGTTAGGCCTCAACCCCACAGCCCTGGCAGCCAGGTCACTTCAGCCCAGGAAGACACAATATGCCCAGCTGCTCTCCACACTGCTGGAAACAAGCACTTTGGAAGTGCTCTGCTCAGTTCCTGAGGTTCAGGGGTCACCGGCCCCACCCCAGGGGGCTGGCCTCCAGCCACTGCCTCCTTCCACTAAGGCTAGTGCAACCTCCCACCCCTTGGAGGACTTTGGCCTTCTGACTCAGGCCCACATCCAGGAAGGCAGGCCACTGCGAGGGCCTAACTGGCCCCCATCCCCAGCTGCCATGCAGGGGCAATGGTACCACACTGGAGACTGGGCCTGGTTTGCATAGTCTGCACGTTTAATCACTTTAAAACCTCTAACATTATCTCGTGTCCATTAAATAGAACCAACAATGCTGGGCCTGTTTAAATTACAAGAAAAAAAATCACTGTGCACCAACCCAGTATCTTACAAAACCAGCCGGGCTGGCCACAAGGGTGAGGGGAATTGGAGAAGGGGGCACCCCTGGGCAGGTGGCTGGGTACCAGGAATGGCTAGGGGAAAGAAAAGGGGACTCCCAGGTGGGAGGGGACTGATTGTCCTAATGGGAGGGGTGCAAAAGGCACGTCAGAAGAGGGATTTTGGGGGGCTTGACAGGTCAGTGCTTTCTCCACCAGGGCACAGTGTTGAGGGGGCTGAGTGCCACCACCTGCCCACCCCTGGCACTTGGAGAGCCAGTGACCTGTGGGCCCTTGGCATGGCGAGCCCCACTTGAAACAGATGTCAGCCTGCCCTCCCACCAGGGGACCCCCTTTCCTCCAGCCCACCTGGCTGGCCTGCCTCTTCAGGACTTGGGGCTCAACTTTTCCTCACTCCTCAGCAACATGCTGCAGCCCCCACAGCTCAGGGCCAGGGCAGCCAGGGAGGAGCAGGGCGGACGGTGGGTGTGAGAAGGTGGGTAGTCCAGCTGCTACCCCCATTAAAAATACAAAACAAATCATCAGCATCTAAAGTGAAATCATCACAAAGTGAAAATATATCCTCAAACAGCCCCTGAGATCCCCACAGGGGAAAGCAGCATCGGGTGGGAGGCCAGAGAGGCTGGCTGGGCCACCGCCCCTCCCCACCACCCACCCAGGGGCTCCAGGTCTGTGAGTGCCAACAGCCCAGGCAGCCCGGGCTCAGAAAACAGGGATTTGGGCCCCAACGGGAGAGGCGGGTGCAAGAGAGGGGAAGGTGGCGAGGACACCAGCACAGGGTTCTGACAGCTTCCGCCTTGGCTGTGCCAACCTGGCAGCCAGTGGTGGTGGAGGCATGGAGCCTAAGGCGGGCCAGGGGACACTGGCCTCGAGATACTGGCCACGCACACGCCTGGAGGCACCTGCCTTGCCTTGGTCCCTTCCTATGGTGGCTGCTGCCGCCAAGACTCACCAGAGCTAGGGGACAGGGCGGAGGGTGCAAAAGCCCTTGGAGAGGTGGCCTCCTCCCACAAATGCCTCCCAGGCCAGCCTCCCAACTGCCTGGATGGGGACCATTATTGCTTTAGAGGGACAGGGAAGGGAAAGGGCGGCGGCCTGGGTCAGGAATCCCAACAAGCAAGGGCTGCCCGTCTTCACTCCGCAGGAACTCTGGCTGTGGCTGTGGCTGTGGCCGAGGCCAGCTGCCCTGAAGGTTTCACTCCTTTCTCCACATGGAGGGGGCGCTGAGGGTGGGGTGCAGCCCTCCCCGCACCCCAGCTGGTCCTGGGCCCACCTCAGGTGGCCAGGTGGGCCTGAGGGTAGGATGGGAAGTAGTCTCCACCCCTTTTGCCTCCCAGCTGGGGTCCAAACCCAGTCCCAAGATAAAAAAATACTTTGGTGAATTAAAAAGTGCCCAAGGAGGGGATTGGCTTGAGGGGGTGGGCAGTGGGCTCATCAAAGGGCGCTCTGGTCTTTGATAAAGGCGGTCCTCTCGCCCCGGCCCTCGTCCTCTTCTGAGTCGGACGGGCACTCCTCCTGCCAGGCTTCAGGGGGCAGCCCCTTATAGGAGATGAGGCCACGGTCCATGGTGTACACCTTCACCCCCCGGAAGCTAAAGCCAGAGCGCAGCTGCAGGACCAGGAAGACAGTGACGAAGACCAACACGATGAAGGCGCAGCTGAGGCCGGCCACCACCTCAGGCAGGTGAGAGGGCAGCAGGCCTGCCCGCAGCCGCGGCTCCTCCTCCACCTCTGGGGGCAGCCGGGGTGGCTGCTGCTCTGGCGGGGACTCTCGGCTGCTCTGGCTTTGCCGGGAACAAGTCTGCTCCACAGGGTCCAAAGAGGCATGGCTGGGGCAGCTGAGGCAGTCTGTGGGGGCCGGTCCCTGGCAAGTGGCACATGAGGCATGGCACGGGGCGCAGACGCTGGCCCGGATGGTCTCCACGTCATTCTCGGTGCTATAGTGTGTATCCAGGACTTGGGGGGCAAAGCCTGGAGGGCAGTGCTGCACGCAGCTCTTCTGGTGCAGGGAGAAGCCTTCCTCACATACTGTCGGCGTGGGAGAGAGATGAGTGTGTGTTAGCTACAGAGACTGCAGCTGTAGGGCCACAGCTGCCCAAGGCAACTCACCACACCCCCAGGCTTCCCCAGCCCCGGGACTGTGGTCATCCCAAGCAACCCAGGTCTCTTGAGACCTTTTTCTCTTAAAGCTGGGATTCAGGACAGGCACCCGCCTTCCCCCTAGACTCAGGCCCCCAAAGCCCAACAGCACCCACTACTGACCCACACAGGCCTGGCTGGATGTGAGGGTCTTGCAGCCGCTGCTTTCGGGAGGTACAGGCAGTCCCTCAGGGGCTGTGCCATAGAGCACGAGGGTGAACTTGGTCAGTGTCCCTATTCCAGAGAGGGAAGAAGGCAAGAGTGGGATGGTGCTGGCACCATGCCCAGTGCCCCAGGTCCTGCCAGCCCTCCTCCTCGTACCCCTGCCCCTCAAGTGCCCCCAGTACCATAGTTGTTGGCTTCACTGGTGTTTTCAATCTCTAGGATCCACTCGCCAGAGGGATCCTCATCCCAGGCATGAGTTGTCATGAAGGCCCAGTCATTAAACCCATCTGCAGAGTAGTCGTGTGGCCTGAGAAGTGGGGGGTGCACACAGCTGTCTGAGGCCTCTGGGGGACCCCAGGCCAGGGACAACTAACTCACAACACACAGGGCACACACCCTTTCCCCACACAGACCAACCCCACGGGGCCGGAAGCGCCTGCTGGCTTGGCTGTTTCTCAGTGAGCCAGACGTGGTCAATGGGGGATTCTAGAAAGGTACACAGGCACCGTACAAGGTGGGGCACACTACAGATGTTAAATGGGAGCAAGCCAGGGATTCCTGCAGCAAAGAACGGTCCCCCGGGACAAAGCTGTCCCTCCTGAAATGTCATGAGTGCCCCCTGGGCCATGCGAGTGAGCGAAGACAAGTCTGCGGGCTGTGAGGGAGGTGGCGCTGGGCAGGGCAGGCAGGGACAGAGCAAGCACCTGGCTGCCAGCAGGGTGGAGCGGGTGCCCATGGGGCTGACCAGGTGGATGGCCAGGTCGCCACGGCGATTATAGGACAGTGTGAGCCGCGCCTGAGCGTGCTCCAGCCGGGTGATGTGGTTGGGCTCGCCCAGGCACGCGGTCACGGTCTTCCGCACCTCGAGCCGCTTCCCGATGTCTCTGTGTGGGAGAGCACGATGAGGGTCAGCCAGGCCTGGAGGGACCAGCGGGCACCCCCTGCGACTCTCAGGTCCCACTGGCCCCCTCCCAGCCAGGGGCCAGCCCTCACTTGGGCTCGGTGAGGATGTCAATGATGCACTTCCGCTGGGGGGCCACTGTGGTCCAATTCTGGGCCAAGGCAACCATGGCGCCTGCATCCAAAAGCCCGTAGCCATATGAGTGGCTCACTGTGGGGACAGGGAAGGTGAGGTCAGCAGGGGGCACAGAGGGCCTTCCACCAAACTCCACATCCCGCTTCCAGGCACTGCAGCCTGCCCTCACCTTTCCGGCCCACACCATTGGTGGCCCAGTCGTTGGCGTTGAGGTGGGCTGGCTTCGAGGTCTGGACCACCAGGTGCTGCATGTCCCGCCATGTGAGGTTCTTACTACAAAGAAGGAAGGCAGAGGCCAGGGGTCAGTCTGTTTGGGAGCGGCACAGAGAGTGCCAGGAGGGACGGGGTTGCCCCCAGCCCCCACTCACTTACTTGGCCTCCAGGGTGAGGGCAATGATGCCGGCTGCTAAAGGGGCAGAGGCTGAGGTGCCTGTGTGAGACTCCGTGCACTTCTGCCGCAAGTCAGTCGTCACCTGCCCAGAGGAGAATCATACTGGGGCCTGCGATGGGTGGAGGGGGCTAGAGGAGCCGCCTGCCTGCCCTCCCTCTGCCTACAGGCCCTGGGCCCCACAGATGGTATGCTGATCCAGGGCCAAGACCCCTGGGTCCCAGCTACTGCCTCGCTAACTTGCTGTGGACAGGCTAATGCCGAGCCTCTCCTGGGCCTCAGTTTCCCAAGGAATAAGGGGGTTCAACTAGAGGCTAGAGATGAATAAGAACAATTTATGTTTTTAGGGAGAGTCTAGGCTCTCCAAAGGCTTCAGAGATGGCTCCACAGTCTCCAAGAACCTTGAGAGCCCCAGAGTTCACGTTCCATGATGCCTGAGCCACTATCACCCAGCCACATGGGTGGAGGCAGATGGTGTCCAAGAGGGTGCTGGGCAGAGCCAGGCAGCAGCCCCATTTTCCCAGCCCCCAGCCCCAGGCAAGACTCACGATCTGCTTCTCATTCTGGTTGCCACTGCTGTAGGTCGTAGCCAGTGTAGACGAGCAGGCCTCGCTGTACCAGGGCACGTTGCCGAGCTGCGTGGCGCTGCTGATGGACAGCGTGTAGATGCTGTTGGTGTAGCCGTCGCAGTTGCAGCTGTCATGTTCCCGGCCCCCGTTCCCCGAGGCCCAGACAAAGATGGAGCCCAGCCCCCCTCGGCCCTGTGGACAGAGTGGCTGAGGTCATTGAAGATTGGGACTTGAGGGATGGCTGGCAGGAGGAAGCTGCTGGAGGTCTGGGAAGGCTGGAGCCTCTTTCTCTGGG